TACGGCTGTTGGTGTGGATACGGCTGTTGGTGCGGATACGCGCTCGACGATGCATATGCACCCGACGCGTACGGTCTCGGGTAGTAGTGCTGCGGTCGGAACGGCTGTTGCTGCCACGCCGCACCCGTGTAGTGCGCATATGCATCGGGCGGCGCATAGTGCTGTTGTTGGAACGGCGGCTGGTGGTTGGGGCGCGAGTTGGCGGACATGCTGGGCAGCTGCAGCGCAAGCACGTGGTGGTGGAAAGGCAGTCACTCTCAGGACGACTCAGCAGCGTATTGAAGCGCTCATCTTGGAGCCAAGGTGGGGAGCAGCGGTGGGCGAAGATGAAGTGCGAGTGGACAAGGGCGAGGGGGAGAAGCTGCTGTCTGTGCGTCCTTTTGCTCCACTCGGCTCTAACACGCTCTCCCAAAAAGGCGCGAGCAACAATTGCGGTCGCCAAAAGGGGCACCAACAACAAGCATCTCTACCTTCACCTTGGGCATCGCTGTATCCAGTCGTGACCATGCTGCGCAGACCGCCTACGAGTGTGTCGGTGCAGGAGTCGGATGTGGAGACGCTCAAGGCGTACCGGCGCGCCAAGATGATGCAGCACAATCCGAACCTGTCCACCTCGTCCTTTTCGTCGCTCAGGCCCGACGGCTCAGCCTCGATCAACGACCACCAGCCACACCACCACCATCCGTCGACGCTGCAGGGAGGCCAGGACGAGTCGGACGACATGGACGATCCGGGCACACAGCCCGGTCTGTCGCAGCAGGAGAATCACAATCCCAACCAGCCCAGCAACGCCACGGCCACCAATACCTGAACGAGCTTAGCGGGTCCTCACCATTCGAGTCAAACGCACCGACACGCTCACAGGGGCCCAGATGTGCAAGGCACATGCGACGCAGCACACCCATCGCAGGCGCAAGACAGACAGCTTCAAAACGTCGTTACCGCTCAAGTCGCAAAGATGTCGCCGATCTCTGCACACGCACAAGCCCAGACGACAGGAAGCGCACAGTTCGGTCAGTGGCTGCACTCTTCAACGCAGATGCGTGCGTCGACTTACCTTGGATATAGCGCGCACGGATCCTCTCGTCCAGTAGCTGTCGCACCAACCGCCGCCGCAAGCGCCATGCATAGTCAGCACCTTTTGCCTGCCACTTGCAATCCTACGCGGGCTAAGCAACTTACGCCTTCTTCGCGGCTCGGCGCGCCTGGTTCCATGAGATCGTCGTCGTCCGCGACCGCTGTGCTTGTAGATGGGTGTGCGGCGCTGTGAGGTGCTGCGTCGGAGCGCTCGGTGGTGTAGAAGGACGAGGCGAGGTCAACCGAGTCGTCGTGCGCATCGAGCGTGTGCGTGCTGAGCGGGGTCTGTGCGCCTTCGACGGCGGGCGTGCTGCTCGTCGTCATGTCTTCGTCCATGCTGTCGGCCGTGCTGCCCGCAGCGCGTACGTCCTCCGGGTCCATCGCGGCGAGTTTCGGCAGCAACGACGTTGCCGTGGATGCAGATCAGAGCGTGGTGATGGCGGCTAGGATGCAGTCTCTCCACATGAGGCTGAGTTGAGGCTGAGTTGAGGCTGAGCTCAAGCTGAGGTGACCCGCGCTTTTTCTCGTGACGAGTGTTAGGCTCGCATACTAACACCTTGAAGAAGAAAAGCAGACCGCGCGAGAAAAAAAAAAACTCGCAGCCATTCGGAAGACGGCGAAATCAGTCAGCGACGGCGGCGGCGGCGGCCAAAAAGCGCGTTGCTCTGCTGGGCTGCTGAGGCTGCTGAGGCTGCTGAAGCTGTTTGGGCGGACGAAAGCTCAGCTGATCGTCTTCGACATCGCCATCGTCTCCGTCGCTCTTGCAACTGCCACCATCCGCGACCGCTTCTTGGCGCACAGCACGGCCACCACACGCCCAATACCCCTCGTAGCACACGTGACCATCCGACTACTCTTGCATCGCCATCGACGAATCCTTTCAACTTAGCTGTGCCATCACGCTCGCGCTACCTGTGCACCTAGATTCCACCATCTCAACTCTTCAGCCAGCGTCAGCAGTGAACACCATCGACTACAGCGGGCGCGCCGCCGCTTCACAATCATGTCAGGCCCGCCTGGCTACCGCGGTCCTCCCCCCAGCGCACCCGCCGCGATGAGGGGCCCACCACCGGGCATGCCTCGTTCGGGCCCGTCGTCGGCCGCCGCATCCAGCTCGTCGCGCCGCGAGCCACCACCTCTCACCGCCGAACAGCTCCAGGCGAAAGCACGCAAATGGCAGCAGACACAGAGCCGTCGCTTCGGCGACCGCACCGGCAAGTCCGCATTCGTAGACACGGGCAAGCAGGACATGCCCCCCGAGGTGCTCCGCAAAATCATCAAGGAGCACGGCGACATGACCAACCGCAAGTACCGCCAGGACAAGCGCGTCCACCTCGGCGCGCTCAAGTACCTCCCGCACGCCATGATGAAGGTGCTCGAAAACATCCCCATGCCCTGGGAGCAGCTGCGCGAGGTTCCCGTCCTCTACCACATCACCGGCGCCATCACCTTCATCAACGAGGTGCCCCGCGTCATCGAACCCGTCTTCCACGCACAGTGGGCCACCATGTGGATCGCCATGCGCAGAGAGAAGCGCGACCGTCGCCACTTTAAGCGCATGCGTTTCCCGCCCTTTGACGACGAGGAACCCGTCGTCGACTACTCGGACAATCTCCTCGATGTAGAGCCCCTCGAGGCCATCCAGCTCGAGCTCGACGAGGACGAAGACGGTCCCGTCATCGACTGGTTCTACGATCACAAGCCGCTCATCTCCAACAGCGCCCACGTCAACGGCTCCTCCTATCGCTTCTGGAACCTCGACTTGCCCCAGATGGCCACCCTCCACCGTCTCGGCCGCACCCTCCTCAGCGACGCCTCCTCCGCCGGCGACCGCAACGCCTTCTACCTCTTCGACAAGAAGGCCTTCTACACCGCAAAGGCGCTCAACATGGCCATCCCCGGCGGGCCCAAGTTCGAGCCCCTCTACAAGGACACCGACGGCTTCGACGACGACTTTACCGACTTTACCGACTTCCGCAAGGTCATCATCCGTCAGCAGATCCGCACAGAGTATCGCGTCGCCTTCCCGCACCTCTACAACTCGAGGCCACGCGCAGTCCACATCGGCGTCTACCACGAGCCCGCCAACGTCTACATCCGCTCCGACGACATCGACCAGGCCTTCTACTTTGATCCCGCCATCAACCCCATCTCGGCGCGCACCCTCGCCAGCACCGGCGCCTTCCGCGACACCTACGACGACGGCAGCCCCGTCCTCAGCCACGAGGATGCAGTCTTCGGCCCGGGCGTCGATGGAGACGACGAGCTGCCAGACGAAGTGGCCTTCTCCTTGCCCGACGAGATCGAGCCCTTCCTCCAAGATGCGCCGCTCGAGAACGACCTCACCGCCGACGCCATCGCACTCTGGTGGGCTCCCAAGCCCTACTCGCTCCGCAGCGGTCGCACACGCCGCGCCGTCGACGTCCCCTTGATACAGCCCTGGTACCTCGAGCATTGTCCACCCAACCAGCCCGTCAAGGTGCGCGTCAGCTACCAGAAGCTGCTCAAGTCGTACGTCTACAACAGCCTCCACACCACAAAGCAAAAGGTGCACAAGCGCACCAACCTGCTCCGCGAGCTCAACAACACAAAGTTCTTCCAAAACACCTCGATCGACTGGCTCGAGGCGGGGCTCCAGGTCGCCAAGCAGTCATTCAACATGATGAATCTGCTCATCCACCGCAAGGGCGCATCGTACCTCCACCTCGACTACAACATGAACCTCAAGCCCACAAAGACCCTCACCACCAAGGAGCGCAAGAAGAGCCGCTTCGGAAACGCCTTCCACCTCGTCCGCGAGCTCAGCCGCATCATGAAGCTCGTCGTCGACGCACACGTCCAGTTCCGCCTCGGCTCCATCGACGCCTTCCAGCTCGCAGACGGCCTCCAGTACCTCTTCAACCACGTCGCCACGCTCTCGGGCATCTACAGGTACAAGTACCGCTCCATGCGCCAGATCCGCGCCTGCAAGGACCTCAAGCACGTCATCTACTACCGCTTCAACGCCGCAGGCGTCGGCAAGGGTCCCGGCGTCGGCTTCTGGGCGCCCTCGTGGAGGGTGTGGATCTTCTTCCTGCGCGGTATCGTGCCGCTGCTCGAGCGCTGGCTCGGCAATCTGCTCGCACGCCAGTTCGAGGGCAGAGGAGGCCGCAGCGGCGCGCAGTCCATCACCAAGCAGCGCGTCGAGTCCGCCATGGACCTCGAGCTGCGTGCCGCCGTGATGCACGACATCCTCGATGCCATGCCCGAGGGCATGCGTCAGAACAAGGTCAAGACCATCATGAGTCACCTCCAGGAGGCCTGGCGCGCGTGCCGCAGCAACACGCCGTGGAGCCCGAATCTGCCGGCGCCCATCGAGAACCTCATCCTGAGGTACGTCAAGCAGAAGTTCGACTGGTGGACATCCGTGGCTCACCAGCAGCGTGCCAGGATCGCCCGTGGTGCGACCGTGGACAAGGCCGCCGTGCGCAAGAACCAGGGCAGGTTGACGCGTCTCTTCCTGCGTGCAGAGCAGGAGAGGCAGGCAGACTACCTCAAGAGCGGTCCCTACATCACCTCCGAGGTCGGCGTCGCCGCCTTCACAGCCACCGTGCAGTGGCTCGAGGCGCGCCGGTTCAGCCCCATCCCGTTCCCGAGCCTCAACAACAAGCACGACGTCAAGCACCTCGTGTTGGCGCTCGACTCGCTCAAGGAGGCCTACTCGGTCAAGGGCCGTCTGAACCAGAGCCAGCGCGAGGAGCTCGCGCTCATCGAGCAGGCGTTCGACAATCCGCACGAGACGCTCGCGCGCATCAAGCGACTCATGCTCACGCAGCGCGCATTCAAGGAGGCTGGCTTCGACTTCTTCGACACCTTCTCCAAGCTCACGCCCACCTACGACATCGAGCCCATCGAGAAGATCACCGACGCCTATCTCAGCCAGTACCTCTCGTACGAGGCCGACAAGCGCCAGCTCTTCCCGGCATGGATCAAGCCCAGCGACTCGGAGCCTGCGCCGCTGCTGGTGTACAAGTGGTGCAACGGCATCAACAACGCGCACGACATCTGGGACACTTCCGAGGGCCAGTGCAACGTGCTCATGGAGACGACGCTCAGCAAGGTGTTTGAAAAGATCGACCTCACGCTGCTCAATCGCCTGCTGCGACTCGTCATGGACCACAATCTGGCCGACTACATCACCGCCAAGAACAACATTTCGATCGTGTTCAAGGACATGTCGCACGTCAACTCGTACGGCCTGATCCGCGGCTTGCAGTTCAGCTCTTTCGTATTCCAGTACTACGGTCTCGTGCTTGATCTGCTCATCCTTGGCCTGCAGCGCGCCAACGAGATGGCAGGTCCGCCCAACATGCCCAACGGCCTCTTCCAGTTCCGCGATACCGCCACCGAGACACGACACCCGGTGCGCCTCTACACGCGCTACGTCGACCGCATCCACATCCTCTACCGCTTCACCGCCGACGAGGCGCGCGACCTCGTCCAGCGATACCTCACCGCCAACCCGGATCCGAACAACAGCAACGTGATCGGCTACAACAACCGCAAGTGCTGGCCGCGCGACGCGCGCATGCGCCTTGTCAAGCACGACGTCAACCTCGGCCGCGCCGTGTTCTGGACGGTCAAGAACAGCCTGCCGCGCTCGCTCACCACCATCGAGTGGGAGGACACGTTCTGCTCCGTGTACAGCAAGGACAATCCGAACCTGCTCTTCTCGATGCTCGGCTTCGAGGTGCGCATCCTGCCCAAGCTGCGCCAGGAGGACGTCGATGTGGCTCGCGACGGCGTCTGGCCGCTCGTCCAGGCAAGCTCGGGCGAGCGCACCTCGACCGCGTTCCTGCGCGTGTCCGAGGAGGGCATCGCCAACTTCAGCAACCGCGTCCGCGCGCTGCTCATGTCGGCCGGCGCCGCGCCGTTCAGCAAGATCGCCAACAAGTGGAACACGTGCCTGATCGCGCTCATGACGTACTACCGCGAGGCGGTCGTCAATACCGAGGAGATGCTCGACCTGCTCGTCAGGAGCGAGAACAAGGTGATCAACCGCATCAAGTCCGGCGTCAACTCCAAGATGCCCTCGCGATGGCCGATCCACATCCTCGCTTCGCCCAAGGAGCTCGGCGGTCTCGGCATGCTCTCCATGGGCCACGTGCTCATCCCCGCATCCGACCTCAAGTACTCGCGTCAGACCACCACGGGCATCACGCATTTCCGAGCTGGTCTGTCGAACCAGGAGGACCAGCTGCTGCCGGCGCTGTACCGCTACATTACGCCGTGGGCCTCCGAGTTTGAAGACTCTGCGCGCGTGTGGCAGGAGTATGCGCAGAAGCGCAAGGAGGCCAACGAGCAGAACCGACGTCTGACGCTCGAGGATCTCGAGGACTCGTTCCACCGCGGTCTGCCACGCATCGCCACGCTCTTCCAGAAGGACCGCACGATCCTGTCGTACGACAAGATGTGGCGCGTGCGCCAGGAGTTCAAGAAGTATCAGATCGCCAAGTCGCAGCCGTTTGCGTGGACCAACCAGCGCCACGACGGCAAGCTGCACAACCTCAACCAGCTGCGCACGGACACCATCGCGGCGCTCGGCGGTGTCGAGACGATCCTCGAGCACTCGCTCTTTGCAGCGACCGGACATCCGACTTGGGAAGGCCTGTTCTGGGAAAAGTCGTCATCGTTCGAGGAGAGCATGCAGCAGAAGCGGCTCACGAATGCGCAGCGATCGGGTCTCTCCCAGATCCCCAACCGTAGGTTCACGCTGTGGTGGTCGCCCACGCTCAACCGCAGCAGCGTGTACATTGGCTTCCAGGTGCAGCTCGACCTGTGCGGCGTGCTCATGTCCGGCAAGATGCCGTCGCTCAAGATCTCGTACATCCAGCTCTTCCGCGCGCATCTGTGGCAGAAGATCCACGAGTCGGTGGTGATGGACCTGTGCCAGGTGTTTGACCAGGAGCTCGAGGCGCTCTCGATCGAGACGGTGCAGAAGGAGACGATCCATCCGCGAAAGTCGTACAGGCTCACGGCGTCAAGCTCGGACATCCTGCTGTTTGCCAGCTACAAGTGGCCGATGTCGCGGCCGTCGCTGCTGACCGACTCGCGCGACGTGATGGACGGCTCGAGCGGCAACAAGTGGTGGGTGGACGTGCAGCTGCGCTGGGGCGACTACGACTCGCACGACATCGAGCGCTACTGCCGCGCCAAATTCCTCGACTACACCACGGACAACACGTCGATCTACCCGTCGGCCACCGGCGCACTGGTGGGCATCGACCTGGCGTACAACATCCATTCGGCCTACGGCATCTGGTTCCCAGGCAGCAAGCCGCTCATCCAGCAGGCCATGGCCAAGATCATGAAGGCCAATCCGGCGCTGTACGTGCTGCGGGAGCGCGTGCGCAAGAGTCTGCAGCTGTACAGCTCGGAGCCGACGGAGCCGTACCTCAACTCGAACAACTACGCCGAGCTGTTCAGCAACCAGATCATCTGGTTCGTCGACGACACCAACGTCTACCGCGTCACCATCCACCGCACCTTCGAGGGCAATCTGGTGACCAAGCCGATCAACGGCGCCATCATCATCCTCAACCCGCGCACGGGCCAGCTCTTCCTCAAGATCATCCACACGTCCGTGTGGGCGGGGCAGAAGCGCCTGGGCCAGCTGGCCAAGTGGAAGACGGCCGAGGAGACGATTGCGCTGGTGCGCAGTCTGCCCGTCGAGGAGCAGCCGAAGCGCATCATCGTGTCGCGCAAGGGCATGCTCGATCCGCTCGAGACGCACTCGCTCGACTTTCCCAACCTGTCGATCGTGGGCTCGGAGCTGCAGCTGCCGTTCCAGAGCTTCCTGAAGCTCGAGGCGATCGGCGATCTGGTGCTCAAGGCGACGCAGCCGCAGATGGTGCTCTACTCGTCGTACGACAACTGGATGACCAACGTGAGCAGCTTCACGGCGTTTTCGCGGCTGATCCTGCTGCTCCGCTCGCTGCACGTCAACCAGGAAAAGGCCAAGATCATCCTGCGGCCGCACCCGGGCGTCGTGACGGAGGCGCACCATCTGTGGCCGACGCTGACGGACGAGGAGTGGATCAAGGTGGAGATCCAGCTGCGCGATCTGATCCTGGCCGACTTTGGCAAGCGCAACAATGTCAACGTCAACTCGCTCACCTCGTCCGAGATCCGCGACATTATCCTGGGCATGACGATCCAGGCGCCGTCGGTGCAGCGCCAGCAGATGGCCGAGGTGGAGAAGACGGCTGAGGCGCAGCAGCAGGTGACGGCGACGCAGACGCGCACGGTGAATGTGCACGGCGAGGAGATCCAGACGGTCACCACGACGCAGTACGAGAACAAGGTGTTTAGCTCCAAGTCGGACTGGCGCGTGCGTGCGCTGAGCGCGACCAATCTGCCGTTGCGATGCCAGCACCTGTACGTGTCCAACGACGACATCCGCGACGAGGTGGGCAGTCTGACGTATGTGATGCCCAAGAACATCCTCAAGACGTTTATCGTGAATGCGGACTTGCGCACGCAGGTGGCGGGGTACATGTACGGCGTATCTCCCGCGGATGCACCGAGCATCAAGGAGATCAAGGTGATCGTGTGGGTCCCACAGCGCGGATCGAATCACCGCGTCGAGTTGCCGGACACGCTGCCGGAGCACGAGTTTATGCTCAAGGACCTCGAGCCGCTGGGCTGGATCAAGACGTCGGCTGTCGACGTGCCGCACCTGCCGCCGCAGGATGTGGCGGTGCATGCACGCACCATGGCGGCGCATCCCGAGTGGGGGGCGTCGACGATCTGCATCACGTGTGCCTTTACGCCCGGCTCGGTCTCGCTCTCTGCGCACAGCCTGAGCGTCGTCGGGTTCGAGTGGGGACGCAAGGCGAGCGACGCGGATGTGGCGAGTGCCGCCGGATTCAACCCGGCCACGATGGTCGACAAGACGCAGCTGCTGCTGTCGGACCGCATCCTGGGTACCACGCTCGTGCCCACGGACCGCATGTGGAACTACGGCCTCAGCTTGAGCGCCCAGTGGACGAGCAGCGTCAAGTACGGCTTGGTGCTCGACAGGCCCGCCGCATTCTGGGACGAGCTGCACAGGCCGCACACCTTCCTCTCGTTCACCAACGAGCAGGATGCAGCCGACGACGTGGCCGACTGGCAGGACGCCTTTGCCTAAGCCGCCCTTTTTTCACTCTTGGGGAGAATCTCAGGTTTCAGCTTTTTCAGTCGGATTTCAGCGTGTTGTGTGCGTCAAGGTGGGGTGGTGTGGCAGAGAAGCTTGATTGCGAGGGGGGGCGTTTGGAAGCTCAGTCCATTTCGTCGTCGACGAGGTCGTCAGCTTTGGCCTCTGTGGCTGGCGACGCTTGAGGCGGTGCGGGTTGGGTGGACTGTGATGGTGGTGGCGCTACCCGCTGTTGCTGGGGAGGGGCGTTGAAGAGGCTGGCCATCATGTCGGTGAGCATGTTGCCGCCCTGTCTCCTCTGAGCGATTCCGAAGACGGTCGTGCCGATCTGGGCGATGGCACTGGCGGCGTTGGCATCGGGTTGCGATTCGCGCTCGAACTGACGTACGAGATTGACCCAGGCCGTACGCAGCGCGTCGTTGACGCCGGCCTGTGCGGCGAGGGAGAGGGCTGTGGCCATCTGGACAAAGTTGAGTTCCGAGTTGGCGGTGATGCTGAGCTTGAAGTCGGTCTGGGTGCCGTTGGGCGCGCTGAACGCGCGCGGGTTGGGCGAGATGGGTAGCAGTAGCGATCGCAACCGCGCCGTGAGCGTCTCGAGGTACGTCTGGACGAACGCCACCGCCGCGGGAACGTTGTTGGCAAGCAGCGGCAGCGTAGCACGCAGAGCAAACCCACCCGCCTCGATGCGCTCGATAGCGTCCTGCGTTCGCTCCTCCCCCTCCTCCTGCGCTGCCCTCTTGGCTACCGCCGACAACCACGCCGCCATGGCCCGCGCAAACTCCTTGGCCGCCTCTACGTCAGTGCCAGATGCAGCGAGGAAATGCGATTCCGCAAGCGAGTACTCCCCGTCTTTGGCATACAGCTTGGCGACAAACAAACGCAGCTCGCCATCACCACCGCTCTTGCAGCTCCACTTGACAGCCGCATCCACCAGCTTCTTGCGCCAAAAGTCGGGCTTGGCAGCGGCGATGATGTCGGTGATGCGAGAGCGGGACTCGGCCGTGACGGGAGTGTCGGCGAGGTTGTAGACATCGAGCATGTAGATGCCCAGATCGCACCCGGAACCCTGCTCGCCCTGCGAAAGCAGCTCGAGTGCGCCCGTGTGCAGCGCGGCAATCGCTTCCGGATACGCCTTCTTCTTGGTGAGACGCACCACCTTGGTGCGCAGCTTCTGGTGCAGCTCGTATCCCGACATTGCAACCGCCAAAGCAGACAGAGTGTGGTCGAGTGTTGGGTTTGGGTCGAGTGGGAGAGTGAAGGATCAAAGGGTGACGCGTGGCGCAGGTGGGCATTGGGCAGCGCCTCGCTTTCGCCGCTCTTCTCGAAGTCTCGAAAATTCCTCATGTTTGTCAGACCGAGCGAACCGCACACGAAACACTTTTTCTGTCGATACGATTGCTTCGGCACATGCTGTCTAGATGATGCCTTCTGCACGCAGCATCTGGACGTACTGGAAGGCGATCCTCCTCCCACGCTCGACGCCCGACCACGCACCTACGTCGCCCCCCTCCGGATCGTCCGCATCAGACCGTAAGCCCTGGAAGATGAGCTGCACCGTGTCTTCGCTCGGCTTGGGCGCCACATTCGGCTCAGCCTGCGCTGCTGCGTTCGGCTTGGGCTGCGTCCAGGCGGGTGCGCCGAGCGGACGGTCGTCGTCATCGTCCTCATCCTCATCCACCTGCTGCATGGTCACTGCTGTCCCCGCCAGCGCGGCGGCGTGGCCGTTGGGCAGCGCACCTTCGGTCTCCGAGTCGGAGCAAGACACCTCGTCGTCCTCCCACTCCTTGTCGGCGCCGTGCTCGTCTGTGCCGAAAGTGTGCCAGCCAAACGCATCGTCGCCATTCGAATCAGTTGTGCGGTGAGGAGCGGCAGGCTCGGATGCGCGCTGACGGCGCTGCAAGCGCTTGGCGGCACGCATGTGGTGCGAACGCTGGCTGATGCGCTGCCGCCAGCTCTCGCCCGAGCGCGGCACCACCTCCTCCCACAACTGATCCGACACCACGGGGATATTGAAGCTGCGGTTCGGCTGCACACCCTCCGTCCCGCCCCCGATGGTGTAGTTGAATCCTCCCGGGGCACCCTGCGCCGCCCCGGGCAGTGTTGCATGTGCACCGCGCGGAGTACCCACCGCACTCGCGGCCCCATTCACCACCCCCGCAGCTTGCACCGGCTGCGCAGGCTGAGCAGGCACAAGCCCCGGTGGGAACAGGGCCATCAGGAAATCCTGCATGAACTTCGATGTGGGCAACACCGCAGCGGGTGGGATGAATTCGGCCTCTACAACGGCGCCTGCGCTGCGGCCTCCGCCGCCCATGACGCTGCCGACGCGCACGCGCCAGTCGACGCCGCCCTCGGTGTCCGTGGGTGTGTCGATCGAGGCC